GCACATCTACAAGTAAGGCCCCTACACATGGGCACTCAACTTTACTCAATCCATGGGCCTAGAGGTCCACAGCTGCCTTATCTCTCCATGCCACCACCTCTGCTGCTGCCTCTGTTGTTGCTACTTTTCCAGGAAGAGATATCAGGCTGTACTCATGCTTTTCTTTCTAGATGGTCCTAGGATCATCTGTACCTGCTTCTGAAAGGACTCCTTTTAAACCTAACGTGATGGCAAAATTAACCAATACCAGGGTTAGAGTACAGTATACCCTATTTGCATACTTCCACCCAATCATAGGATGGAAAATGAAATAACATTGGATAGAAAAGCCATATCAAATAAATTCAAGATACAAAAACTCTCTACTTGGTAATTTATTCTCTCGTCTTCTCCCCTGCCTAGTAACCACTATTTCTTTTAGTATGAAAACGTTTTCTTTACTTTTATAATAGTGGTCTCATACAATATTTGTTCTTTTGTGATTTACTTATTTTACTCAGCATACTGTCCTTCAGGTTCATCCATGTTAAGAGGTGTATTGGAGATTCATTGTTATTTAATGCTACAACAGGATTCCATTGTATGCATGTACCAGGTTATTTATACATTCTTTCTTGATGGGCATTTAGATTATTTTCATGTTTTCGCTATTGTCAGTAATGCTGTGATGAACATGGATACACATACCATGTTTCTATATCTAGTCATGTCAGGGTCTTTATTTCTCTAGGATACAGACCTAGTAATAGTATTTCTGGATCATGTGGCATTTCCAACTTGGTAAGGAAGTACCCTAAAGTACCCTACCATTGTCCACAGTGGCTGCACCATTTTATAGCCCTACCAGAGGGTTCCAGTCTCTTGACATCTTCACCAGCATTTTTTTTTTAACTTTGTTATTAATGCTGGGATAAGATGATATCTCATTATTATTTTGATTTGCAGCTCTCTGATGGCTAAAGGAGTCCTGGTGCAGCACTGTAGGATAAGCACTGGACTGCTAACTGCACCACCAGCAACTCTTTAAAACCCTATACAGGGTCACTTGAATTGGAACCGATTCGGCAGCTCTTCCTGCGGAGCAACTGGTAGTTTCGAATTGCTGACCTTACGGTTCGCAGACCTATTCGTAACCACTACGTTACCAGAGCTCCTTGAGTGAAGGTAAACAGATAAAATCATCAACCTTACTTTCAACCAATCATATATTGTATTTCATCTTAATGATTACACTCCCCTCCCTGTAACAACAGTTACCCTGCTTCCACCTTGTGGCTTCCCTTTTACATCTTATTTTTAACAAATGAACAAAGCAAAAATATTTCATGCATACAGACAAAAAATATATATCCATTTAAATGTCCAAAAGGCACATTTTGCAAGCTAACCTCCTGTCTGTAGGCGCACAGCCTTTCTTAGTACATGGGCATAGAGTCCGCAACTTCATGAGCACATCTTTATGTGTTTATTGGGGGTCTAAATATCTTCTTTGGTGAAGTGTTCATGTCCTCTGCTTATTTAAAAAATTGTTGCTAAAGTTTTCTATACATTTTAGAGATCAGTCTGTTGTCTGATGTGTCTTTGCCACAAAATGTTTCCTAGTCTGTTGGTTCTCTTTTTATTCTTTTGGTGAAATCCTTTGGTGCATACAAGCATTATATTTTTAGGAGGTTCCAGTCATCTAGGTTGTGCTGTTATTTGTGTTTTGAGTTATGATTGGTAGTGTGTTTATGCCATGTTTTAGGGGCCCTGAGCCCTGATGGTGCTGTAGGATAAGCACTGGACTGCTAAGTGCAAGGTCAGAGGTTCAAATCCATCAGTCACTCCATGACAGAAAGATGAGGCTTTCTGCTCCCGGAAACTTACAGCCTCATAAATCCTATGCAGAGTTGTTTTGAGTCAGAACTAACTTGATAGTAATGCTTACTAGGGCCCCTAAGTCTTGGATCTTTTTCTTTGAAGACACCCTAATGAGACTAAGGCAAATGTGTTATTGAGAGAACTTGTCTGCAGTCATCCACTGATTTCAGAGACATGTTTAAACAAGTTTTGTTTAGAATAAACCCATGCATGGGGTCCTGGGAAACAGTGGACTGCTAACCACAATGTCGGTGGTTCACACCCACCAATGGTTCCTCGGAAACCCTATACAGAGTTGCTATGAACTGGAATCAACTAGATGGCATTTCACAACAACAACATGCATGTATAAACTGGAATCCTAGTAGTAATAATTTTTGGTTTGCCTTTGTATATCAATGAGGGATATTGGTCTACAATTTTCTTTTATGTAATCTGTCAGGTTTTGGTAACAGAGTGATGCTAATATCATAAAATGAGTTGCATAATGATTCCCTTCTCCTAGGTTTCCTGAAAGCATTAGAGCAAGATCAGTGTTATTTCAACTTTGAATGTTTGATAGTATTTATCAGTATAACTATCTGGGCCTAGAGTTTACTAGATATTAATCCAAGAAAAATTAAAACAAATGTCCATACAAACATTTGTACATGATCATTTATGTACAGATGCAGCTTAATTTATAATAGCCCCAAACTGGAAACAAGATGTAAATTAATAAGTAAATTTTGATGCACTTATACACTGAATTATTACTCACCAATAAAAAGGTTTTTTATGCAATAATGATTCATGCAATAATATGACTAGCTCTCTAAAGTATTATGCTGAATGAAGTTATGAATGCTGATTGTAAAATCTTAGAAAATGTCAACTAAGCTGTAATGACAGACTTATCAGTTATACATGCTTTTAAAAACTTAAATGGGAAAAAAAGAATTTCTTATAATTCTGCTGATACTGATGATTTTTGCTGTTCTTTCTTTATTCCTGAAATATTTCTTTTTGGTAGCATTTTGCTTCAGCCTGAAAACTAATTTATCATTTCTTTAAAGCAGTTCTGCTGGAAATTCTCTTACTTTTCCTCTATCTGAGAATCTTAGTTTCATTTTCATTCCAGAAGAATATTTTTGCAGGATAGGGAATTCTGGGTTGACAAGTTTTTATTTTGTTTTGCTTTTATTTCAATGATTTTTGCTGCATGGAATATTATAATAATAGAGGTTTTAAAAATCTTTGATAATTCCAACATCTGGGCTATCTTGGAATCGGCATCTGTTTATTGTTTTCTCTCTTGAGAATGGTCTATAATTTGCTGGGTTTGTATATACTGAGAAATTTTGGCTTCCACCTAGATATTGTGAATGTATGTCACATAGACTATAGGCAGTGTTGTAATTCTCTGGAGAATACTCATGTTTTGTTTTGTAGGCAATCTATCTGATTCGATTCAGACTGCCAGTTTGGTCTCCCCTGTGGTTCAAATCTCAGTTCAGTTTTCAAGACTTTGTAATGCTGTAGAGCTCAAGGTGAGCCTAAGACTTAACAGAGGTTCATACCCAGAAATAGGAGACTCCTTCTTCAGCTTTCTCCACTCTGGGATTTCCCACTTCTTTCCAGCCTCTGAGGGGCTTCTTTCTTAGTACCTCTACCTAGAAAGATAGAGTTCCTTTGAGAGTTTTAGTGGTCTGCCTTCTGTGCTCCTTTGTGATGGGGTATACCCTGAGAGGCAGAAAATTTACGTTTGTGTATTTACTTCTTCATGTTTTGCTCATCTTCATAATCTGCCTCCTTTTAGGTAATTAGAAGTTTTAGTTGTAATTAGTGGGAGAGACAGCCTATAGTGGGTTCACTTCTGCCATCACAGCAGAACTCGGGCTTCTAAGGTCTTCTTCAGAGCTTCTTTACCTTCTGTAGAATTTACCATTTCTTCATCCATTACACTCCTATTTTCCAACAGATTTAAAACAATATTTAACCATTTTAGAGTCTTTGTAGGTTATTTCTAAAATCTGGTTTTTGCTTGTGATTGGTTTCCATAGATTGCATTTTCTCTCAGCTATGGGTCAAATACAGTTTCTTCATGTATACAGTAATGTCTTAAAATTGAAAGCATATTGAACTTTGAGGAAATACTGAATTGAATATATTCAATTAAAAGTATTGAATATTTTGGATGATATGTTATATTAACTTCCTTCATAGGAAAAGTTTTATATATTTAATCTCAAATCTCATGCAGAATGGGTGCCCCCTTCTTTCTAGAGTCATAGGTCTTCTAGTTTCTGTCTGCTGTTTGGTTGCTCTTCAGTGTCTTCAAACAGTTGCACATATTTTATAATTGTTATCACCAGGTGGCTTAATGTGATACAAGTTTCTCCACAACTACCAGAAAACATACCGTCTATTTGGACTGAAGAAAGACTCCTTCCTACATTCCACCACCCTTGCAATTTAGCAAACCCTGTTTGAACTTATTTTCTTAAAAAATTCTCCTGCTCCCACACCCACACAAGTGAAAACAAGAGACAGAAAAACAGCAGGTTGGCCAAGACCCCAAGCTTGAAATAAGTTCTGTCTTCTCTGTTATTGGTTATCTCTTTACAACATGTTGTTGCAGCTGCTGTTAAGTGCTGTCAAGTTGGTTCCGACTCAAGTGATCCCCATATAGGGTTTCCAAGGAGTGACTGATGGGTTTGAACTACCAACCTTGTGGTTAGCAATCCAATGCTTATCCTACAGGGCCACACCAGGACTCTAAAGATTTACAAAGCTATCTTCTTAAGGCCAAAAAATATTTATTTTTACAATTCTGTAACTCTAGTCCCCCCAACACCAAAACCAAACAAAAAATGTTATAGCATGTTTTTGTTGTTGTTGTTTTTTTTTTTTATAATGGGAGGTTGTCCTAGAACCCAATTATAAATTTATGGCAACACAAACAATGACAATAAAATGCAAAAGTTACTTAAGAAAAAAAGTTGTGTCGGATATAAATGTTGGCTCACTTGAAAAGATACTCTCCGGTATCCTTAAGATGAAAACCCCCAAACTAGAAAGTACTGGACCCTGTGAATGGTCATTCAAATTACCCAAAGGCCTTCTCCTACCTTGTATTACTGACAAAGGCCTTCTCCTACCTTGCATTTTCTGCTCTCCGGCTTATGCACTGATGCAAGTAGAGATACTCCTGAGGTGCACTGGTAGACAAGGTGGGCTGGATGTGGTTTGACACTGGGGGCTCAAACGTGAACAAGGTTGGCTGGCTAGAGTGTGAAGGAGCTGAGGATTTTCGTTCTCGGAGAAGGTGCTGATTGGAACCGCTGAACTCAGCTGGAGAAGAGCGGGGGCCATGACTTGCTGAGGAAATGTTTCTCAGGGAATCTGTGAAAAAGAGAAAGAGTTCTGTGAATGAAAAGGGAGGAAAGGTGTCCTTATCCCAGCCTAGGGTGTCAGAAGATGACAAGAAAAAACAAACTAAGAGCAGAGAGTCTCGGATCCAGCTGCACCATTCTCCTGCTCTCTCACACTTGCTCTCTGTCTGTCCTCCCAGAGAGGAAGGCTGAGCCTCCTTGCTGTCTTGGTCCAAGAGGAGGTGGTCTGTTCCTCTGGGACTGTTCCTGGAGCAGCATGGGGGCCGTGCTTCATCATGACCCTTCCAGGAGGCATTAGTTTCCTGTGGTCCAGGAGTGTGATCTCCCTCAAGACCAGCCTTTGGAGAGGGAGTACCACTGCCTTCCTCCTCTTAGGCGGCTCCTGCTCTCATCACCTTGCTGCAATTGGAAAGGCCTCTTTCCTAAAAGCAATGTCTGGCTTTGGTAAAGGATGCTTTGCTTGTTGAAGTTTCTGTAACTGATACCCTGCAGGGTGCCTTACTATAGCAGTGATAAAAACACAAATAAGGAATGATTCCTTAAGACTGATTCCCAGTTCTTCTGGTCTGCCTTTCCAAGTCCTCTGACAAGTCTATGTTCTCTACTCACTAATTCTTGTACCCACTACACTCGGGCTATTGGTCTTTTTCTTTCTTGACTCTTATCTTAAATTTTCATTTATTATGTCAGAAAGGAAGTGAGGTATTAAAGACAGATAACAGCATAAGAATACAACACCCTAAGCCAAAGGTATTATGTGTTTGCCTGGCGCTTTAGAGCTTAGCCCAAATTCCTTAGCATAACATACAAGGCATTTCACAGTCTGACCTATTTCCTGCTTTTCTCCTCTCATATATAAGACATATGGAAGTATCATCAGACCCTGAACTCAGTCTCTTTTATTATCCCTTGTTTGACTTATGCTGGCTCTTCTGTCTAGATTTCACTTCTATTCTGTTGGCAAAATCATATGAAGACTTTACAACCCTACACGGATATCACAGTCTCTCTGAAACCTTCTTGGACTCTATCCTTCTTCTGGGTGCCAAAAGTACTTGGTCCATGCTTCCACTGTCATTCTGCTTCCTTGCCAAGCCCCTGGGTTTCTCAGAACAGTGTCTATGATGTCATTAACTCTGCAGTCCTAGCATATACCTAATTAAAGACCAGGTACATACAAGGTTCTTGGTCCATGTTTGCAGAATAAGCAAAAACATTCATTCATTTAGCACTTTAGATTCTAAAAATATAACTTCTCATTCAAATAAGTAAAGGTCTAAAGATGTCAGTTCAGGCAATGTGATAGCTGGTGGAGGATAATGTTTTGGTGGTAGTGACGGTAGCTTTCTAGGATTATTCAAATCCTATCAGAAGGGACATGGTTCTCTTTCCATTCCCTGTTTTCTGACCTATTTCAGGTTGTACCCTTCTCAGGGCCCTAGGCAGGATCACCAGCTAATTAATGTTCCATAGCATTAGTTACTCTCCAGTGTTTTCTACTGCCGGACAGGGTCAACTGCTGCTAGTGTACAACAGAAAAAGCCAACAGGCCCCAAGGGAAACGGTTCCACTGACAGCTGTACTGACCTCTGAAATGAATTCCCATTAAAGGTCTCATAGAGAACTAGATGTTTGTTAACAGAATCAATGGCTTCATTACTCCATTAGATTTGCAAGATGAACTCTCTAACAGTAGAGGAGAGGAGGTTTATGTCTGTGCATGGGAGCAGCCACAGCACCAGGGAATGAACACAAGGCACTGCCTGAGAAGACACTGGGAAGGTGTCAAGAGAAAGCCTTTGGTGAAATTTTACCTTCTCTGCTGTCTTTCTAGACTACTCTTCCTCTGCTCAGACCGTTTATATCGTACTTTTCAGGGGTTCTCCAAAAAACCAAACCCAAATAAAACAGAAAACCCCGTCACTCTGGAGTCAATTCTGACTCAGCAATCCTAAAGGGATTTCCAAGACCATAAATCTTATGGAAGCAGAACGCCACGTCTTTCTCCTGTGGAGCGGCTGAAGGATTTAGGCCACTGATCTTAGCAGCGAAGTGCTTTAACCACTGCATAACACCCAGGGCTCCTGGTGCTACCCCAGCCATCCTAAAGTCACACTGTCACCCAGGAGACTTTTCTGAGGGGAAGCTAATGAACTTCCTCAGCGTCATGTTTCACCTAGGTGACTACTCTATTCACTCTCCTAGGCTTCCACTCATATACCCTGTGCCTGCTGGGCACCTCAGTTCACATGTCCTGCAGACTGGTCAAGTCCAACTATCTGAATTGCACTCCTCACCTTCCTCCTGTGTATTCTATCTCAATGAAGTACATTGACGCTGCTATCAACAAGCTTAGGCATCAGTTATGACTCTCACCTGCTTCTTAACAATCATACCATGACACTATGGCAATGCCCTGCTTAAAACACTTCAATTACTGACAATTTATTACCCAGATGATGACTTAAAAGCTCTTTGTCTTCTTAAAATTACTTTGATGCTTATTTCTTCAACCTTGCTTCTCACCAATAGTTCCTTTTGTTTCAAAGGAATTTTAGATTTATGCAACGCTGTCTATTAGATTGTACACTAGGCTGCAAACTTAATGAGGGCAGGAATTTTATGTCTTTTGTAATGGTTCTGTCCCTAGCTTCAAGCCTAGAATACTAAATAAATGAAGTATAAAGCATAAGCGGATACTACTCTTCAGATAACATTCTCCTCATTGCCTTTAGATAAAGTCCAGGCTCCTCATTATGAGAAGAAAGTCCATTATGTCTCAATTTATTTATTCTGGTTCATCACCCAATACATCCTTCATGTGCCTTGTGTTGAACACAAGGCTATGGGTATGTATAATACACACTCATCTCGCGTGTCCTCTGCTTAAGATCAGACTGTACAGTCAAACCTGAGACCTAGTCTGTATATCTGTAGAACTGGGGGAAATTCCTTCAGCTCCCTGAATCTATGTATCCTTATTGCCAAACATCATAGGGTGGGTATAAGGAGGGAATGCATAAAGAGTCTAGAAAATCTTGCACGTAGTATGTAAAACATGCCTAGACATGCTGTAGGTATTTAATACATATTTGGCACACAGAAGTCCTGGTGTCGCACTATAAGATAAGCACTTGACAGCAAGGTCGGTTTGAACCTCAAGGATGGCAGTTCAAACTCACCAGCCACTCTTCAGAAACTCTGTATAGGGGCAGTATGAGTCAGAAATGACTCCACAGCACTTAACAACAGCAAGCCCTGGAAGATAATAGGTATTAAATAAATATGTTGAATTAACACAGTGGAAGGATAAAAAAGGATAATTCAAATATTTCTGTCTCCTAATTAAAATGAGAAAAGGTTTCATGGTCTGCAAAGCATGCATAGGATTTAGGACGACTTAGCACCACTGGCAACAGAAACTTGGAATTCCATTCTATCAGCATAAAGACATGTCTGTAAAACCAATTCCATCTAATGGTCTGTGGTCCCAGAAAAGTTCTTATAAGGCTGTTTTGGCAATAAACCTTGCTAAATAAAATCCCACTTCTGTTGGTAGCTTTGAAGAACCTCTGCTTGAATTATGTGATTATTCCTTAGTGCCATAAAGCCTACAACTTCACACAAAGTTTTCTTGCTTATCATAGGATTTTTCCTAAAATTGAATTTAGAGACAAGTTTTCTGGAATAAGATGCTTCTGTTTTAGGCCCTGAAGGTAGCATACTCTGGCCACCCCTTGTCCCTGTCACCTCTTCACCCCTGCTTTCTGATGAGCAGCCTGTGCCCCGGTGAGATGATGTTCTTGGAAGTCCTCATGTCACGTTCCCATCAGTTGGAGGGAAGAACTTCAGTCAACAGGACTGGGCACTGGTCCCTTAAGATACAACTTGCCTTTGGTAAGTGAGATCTATCTAACATCTACATTCTATAAAGGTTGATTCCCAAGCCTCGTGCTGAACCCTAAAATTAAACTTTTAAAACGAATTTTCAGTAACAGTTATGATGTGGCTGGTGCGTGAAACAGAGAGAACTAATTGGGAGAGCAGTCAAAAGACTTGACTCCATTAGTGGATCTACCTTTTGCTTGCTATCTGACCTTGAGCAAATCACTTAGCTTTAACGCTTCAGTTTCCTCATCTCCAAAAAAAGGGACAATTACTCTTGGTCTACTTATCACAGAGAGAATCAAGTGAAAACACACACAAACACATCCCAAAACCTGCACATGACTATCTGCAGCAGCATGATTCATAATAGCCAAAAAGTGGAAAAACATAAATTTCTACCAAGTGATCAATAAATAAACAAAATGTGGCATATTTTTACAATGGAGATTAGCAATGTAATGAATGGTGTTCTGAGATATGCTACAACAATGGTAAGACTTGAAATCATTATGCTAAGAGAAGGAAGCCAGTCACAAAAAGCCACACTTTGAATGATCCCATTTATATGAAATGTCCAGAACTAGCAAATCTATAGGGCCAGGAAGCAAATTAGTGGTTGCCTATGGGATGGTTGCCCACGGTCCTGGTGTGGACTGCTAATCACAAGGTCAGCAGTTCAAACCCACCACGGCTCTCAGAAACCCTATACAGGGTTGTTATGAGTAGGAATCGACTCAATGGCACTTAACAATAACAACATGGGATGGAGAGAAGGAGGAATGGTGAATTATAGCTAATGGCTATGGGTATTTTTTTTGAGGGGGAGGTGATAAAATTTTATTAATATTTTAAAAACCACTGTTGTTGTTACTAAGTGCTGTTGAGTCGGTTCTGACTCATAGTAACTCTGTACAGGGTTTCTGAGGAGAGACTGCTGAGCTTGAACCACCAACCTTGAGGTTCAAACCTACCTTGCAGTCTAGCACATTAACACACAGCACCACACCAGGACTCCCAAAATGACTATAACTGTTTAAAAGAAAGATACATTCACAAGTCCATTGTGAAGTATGATATGTAAAATATGTATATGAGATTGCTGTTGTTAAATGCTGTTGGTTC